AATTATTAAATTCAATAATTTCTAGTGATCATGCTTCTCCCGCTTCCGCCTTCAGTTTTTTGACTCATCTATGCTAAAGTGCACATTACGGGCGATTTTTTTTCGCTGAACATTGACTTTTGGTGATTTTTTTATTCCTTGTGACTAGTATATGTAAGATACTCTATATGTAAGATACTCTATACCTTCTTTCATATGTGAAGAAGGTATAGAGAGTGTAATTTAGAAATAGCTTATTTCTTTCTATTTTTTCTTAATACTTAAACAATCTTACAAAGGAGAGCTTTTTGGGTGTCCGTGGGACTTCGGGATGAAATTTGGTAGACAGGTAGCTTAAAACTCGGTCCACGGTACCATTCAGCGAAAACGGTTCAAATTTTACAATAGAAGGGTATGATCTACCTGTCTACCAAATTTCATCCCGGTGACATCATTCTGATAATTACCTAGTGTAGCCCCCTACTGCTTGAGGCGTGTTGCCCCCTACTGATGATCGAAAAATTAACACCAACAAGTTGTTGCTCTCAAGGTACTAAAAATATATCGCCCCAACTCTCAAGAGTTGGGGCGCAACACAAGTGCAAATAAAAATCTTTTATTGGCACAAAATTTTTCCGCTTTTTAATATCGGTTTGTAAAATCCCTGGAAAGCAATCTTAATAAACATTAAAACTAACAAGGAATATTATGTTTAGTAACATCAATTCCAATAAATTGAAAGTATTCTGGAAGGAATACACTGGCACCAACATTAAAAGTTTTTTCAATTCCTAAAAGTTCGAAAACAGCAAAAGAGCCAGCCATTTGATCAAATTCAGCAATACCAAAAGAATAATTTTGTTGTCGAAGATAATCAAAAATTGGTTTATTGCCAACATTAGGAATGTTAATTTCAACATTTTTCTTTATTTCTATGAGAATAAAATAAGTATTTACTCGATTAATTCCCCCGAGGAATTATTTTTTCAACCCATGCGTGGCATGGGGAATTATTAGGGGGTGAGGAATTATTCGAGTTTTGAAATTTGAACGTGTACTAGGGTATTCTCGGTGGGGAATTATTTTTTCAATTCACAACTGGCATGGGGAATTAATAGGGGGTGTGGAATTATTTGAGGTGGGGAATTAATCGAGTAAATACGGTAATATTAAAGAATTTTGTTTTAATGGGGAGGGGGGGGATTTTACTTATGTTTCTTATTAAAAATATATATTCATATATCAATAACCCTCATATATTTTGAAATAATGAATATTTATAAATTCTTCGGCATTATTAGAAATGTTCGGCATGATTGGCACCTCAATAATTTTCTGTGATGATGCAGATTTTATTGGAATAGCATTTTTGTATTTGTAAACTATAATATCCTAAAATGAAGCTTAAAGTATGTATAAACTGTAAGTTTATAAAAATAAATTTTATATTATATTACCACATCATATTTTTCTGATAAAGCCTCGGCCAAAGTTATCTGAAATTTTGAAATTAATATAAATTTTTATTTGGATATTAGTCTTATTAAATACAATCTGTGGATCTCTCTTGTATATATGTACGTCTGTTAGGTATTCCTCTAGGGGTAAACCTTTTAAAATATTCCGTTTAATAAAAGAAATAATAGGTATTTATCGCATCTTATAATGGAAAAATTCTTAAGATATGACGGCACATTTATGTTTTATTTCAAAATTTAACTAATTTAAATGTTTAGTATTAAGAATTAATTTACATGTAATTGCACATGAGAAAATAAATAATTAACGCAAATGTACAAAACTTTCTTTTTTCCATTAAGTTTTTCAATCTCAGAATCTTTATAAGTTCTAAAATCCCCTCTCATTGAACTTTCTCCTTCATACGCTCCTCCTCCATAACTTGTCCCTTCCTGGCCATAATTAATATAACTTGCTTCTTCTCCTTTCCCTTCTCCAGAATATTCACTTACTCTATGTTGACCTCCAGAAGCTTCTCTTCCCGTGTTTGTTTCATAACCCTCATTTTCAGAATAATTAATTGGGCTTTCTCCACCACCCAAACAGCTACAATTTGAACTTCTCTTAAATCGAGAATGGCGCAATTTTTTCTTTCCATTTTTTGGACAGTTACATTTATTCCCAATGGAAATGTTTATCAAAATTAGCAAGAAGAAAATTTTAAAAATTAATTTTAAATACATTTTCTCTAAAATAATTTTTTAAATTAAAATAATAAATTTTAATAAATAAATTGTATAAAAATTTTTAATTAAAATAAATTTCTCTACAAGCGTTATGGCATTTTAAATAAAAATAAATTTCCTTCTCTATCCACTACCCACTTTACACCACGGTTGCGTCGTAATTACGAATTACGATTACGAAATTTTTTTTTAAAAATTACAATTACGAAAAAAAATTTTCGATTACGACGCAACTCTGTTTTACACGTATATAATACAGGGTGCGGCATAAGTAACCGGACACTTTTAAATTCCTTATAACTTTTTTTGTTGTCAATATTTTTAATTGATTTTAGGCTTATTTTTTAGCTCATTCAATTCTCTATTATGGCTAGTCAACGTGATTCCATAGTTTCACTTTTTTCGCAAAAAAATTCAGTCCGCAAAATTTCAACTCTTTTGAATGTCCCAAATAGCACTGACAATACACAATCAAAAAATTCTGGTGAAAATTTTTTGGGAGAAAATTTTTTTGAAATTAATTTAGTAATGATGGCACAACTAAGAACTTACAAAAAAGTGGAAGACCTGGTTCCGTCAGCACTTCCAAGAATATAAAAATGATCAAAATGAGGGTGCATCTCAATTATCGACCCTCCGTGAGAAAATTGGCTCGTGAAACCGGAATAAGTGAGATGACTGTCAGACGAATAGCCAAAAATAAACTTGGGTTATAACCCTACAAAATCCAAAAAGCACAACTGCCAACAAAAAAAACCAAAAAAGTTAGGCTTGCAAGATGCAAACTCCTCCTACAGTGGCACGCATGTCCGGACCTTCTTTTCAAAGACGAAAAAATTTTTACAATAAAAGCCGTTCACAACCATCAAAATTATAGAATTTGGACTTCAGAATCTCCTCTTTTCGATAAGCTTAGCACTCATTCCCAACATCCCCAATCTGTCATGGTTTGGGCCGGTATTTGCGCGTCAGTCAAAAAACCCCTCATTTTCGTGGATCCTGGGGTAAAAGTCAACAAAGACTATTACTTGCGAGAATTTTTTCAGCGTGTTGTGAAGCCTCGGTTCAAGAGCCATTTCGGTCGCAGAGTCTGGATTTTCCAACAGGACTCTGCTCCGGCACACAAGGCGAAAGAAGTTAAGGACTGGTGTAAGGCCAATTTTTCTGGTTTCATCAGCGCTCAGGAATGACCGCCCTACTCCCCCGATTTGAATTCGATGGATTATTCTTTTTGGTCTATTTAGGAGTCCAGGGTCTGTGCTAAGCCTCAAAAAAGTTTGGAGTCTCTGCGACATTCTCTCACCCGAGAGTGGCTCTTAATTACACTCAAAGAGGTGCGTGCTATTTGCGAAAATTTTTCTTCGCGTCTTCGCCTCTGTATCAAAGCCAAGGGTGGGCATCTCGAATCTTCTTGATTATTATTGTTCCTTATTTAATTCTCTATCATTTGATTGTATTTCGATTTTATTTGATTGTGTTTTAATAAAGTTATGAGAGAAAACAAGTGTCCGGTTACTTATGCCGCACCCTGTACTTCCAAGTCCCTCGATACCCCTTCAAATCCTCTGATATCCTCGAGAACGTCCAACGTAAAGTTAAATTTCCTTCTCTATCCATTACCCATTTTACACGTATGATAAACATTTTAGATAAAAGTGCTAGTATCTTCATATTTTAGCCTTCAAATTTTCTGATATCCTCAAATCCTCTGATACCCTTTCAAATCCTCTGATTTCTTCGAAAACGTCCAAAACGTCCAAAGTGCTCACAAAAAACAGTTCACAATAGGGGGTAATTCACAATAATAAGGATAACAAACAAATAGGACAACAAACACCATAAGGACAATAAACAAAGAATTGTCCTTTTCTTATTAATTTTCGGATATACTTTAGCCGGTGGCCGGTTCGTTACCGATTCGAAATATAAATATGTGTGTGTTAAAAATTAAAATTTTGAAGTTTTGAATTTTGTTAATGAACAAATCATTTTTTAAATAACATAAAATAATAAATTCTTAAAAATAAAATAATGTTGCTAAAACGCAACCCTTTTAAAAAATAAATTTTTAAATAAATTCTTTAAAAAATTTAAATTTCGACAAAATTTCCTTTACTCTTCTCCATCAATTTCTTTAGAAATCATTTCAAGGAAATGGTATTTAATCGGATATTTATTTCTGCCCAAATAATTTTTGTGAATATCCTTTCTAAGTTTATTTGCAGCAATTTGATAAACATTACTGAAAATAAATAAATATTTTTTTGATTTTTAAATTATTAATCTTTTTAATTTAAAGTAAGAATATTTATTAAACTGGGAATGAACAAAATAAATAAAATAACTGTAATAAAATGATTTTTAAATAAAATTGCGGGTGAGGTTTTTTAGATTTTTAATTTACGAGATTTTTCTATATTTTCCGAAAAAAAATGCTCACAAAAAATATTTCATAATTAAACTTTCATAATTAATAAATACGCTATAAAAATAAAATTTTAAAATGAACTAATATTTTTAGTTTCTCCCAAATGATTCCAAAAGCAAACATTTTGAAGTTTAAGATTATTTTATTTTTAACTAAAATTCACTTTATTCTTAAAATAATTTTCACCTCAAAAATCAGCCCCCTACGGTCTTCCAGTTTTCATAAACCTGTATCTCTGCGAGTTTTAATCACCTAAAAACACATCTCCTCGGATAAAGGCTACTACAACCGGACAGCTTATACATAAACACTTTAATTTTATGAGAAGTAAAGATAAGAGCCGTGGTTTAAAATGTTTAAAATTTTATATTGTTGTTTAAATTTACTTACTATTCCCTAATCATTTCACGGAAAGCTTTTTCAAAATCAAAAATAAATTTTGGATTTTCAACTTTTTCCTCTTCCACAAATTTGATAAGCGCTACATATTTACCAATACCCAAATGTTCAACAAGAGAGGAATTGTAGAATTGATCAACTCCATAAGGAATACAAATTAAAGGAACACCTGCATACATTGCCTTTAAATAAATATTTTTAAAGTTTAAAAATATTTAAATACCTCATTCAAACTGTTAATTCCACAATGAGAAATGAATAATTTTGTATTTGTTTTAGCTGAAAATAAATTTAAAAAAATAGCCTAAATTTATATAATATCAGACATGGTCATGGATACGGATATGGATACAGATAATATCAAAATGCCTGCGGATATTCGCCTGTATCCGCCGTAAATATGCGGATACGGATACCAAAATCAGTATCCGTGACCATGCCTGTATAATACATATTAATTTATTTTTGTTATAATTTTTCTTTTTCGTTTAATTTCTCGATAATTTCTTAGAAAATTCTAAGTTGGAAAGATAAAAAATTTTCCCTTTGGCTTCGGATCTTTAATTATTTTAAATTCAATAATTACATAATAATTCTTGTTGTGGAATATTTTCTTCACTGACGTGAATAATATTTTTGTTATAATTTTCTGGTAAATATTCCTTAATTAATTTAACTTTATATATACAATGACTATATTCCTCGAATAATCCAAACATTTTCTTGATATCAATTTTTCCCATATATACCAAAATTCCTTTTGTAAATATAGTTCCAAACGAGACAAGAATAACGCAATTAGGCTAAGATTTTTTAAATATATGTATAACATTATGATAAAGCAAATTTTATAATAAATTTGTTATATTCATCTTTTACAAAATTAGTTACGTTATACAAAATTGTACTAGAAAAACTCAATTATCCAAAGTGGAATTCGAAATTTTACGGATACCGTATATCTGTATAAATTACTTTGTATAATTATGTATGTCTGATTAATAATAGAGACGAAGGAATTGTTTAAGGGAGTTATATTATGATAAACAAAAGTATAGGGATTTACAATATGTTAACGAATAGTTACTGAACTCAACATCAGTTGAGATCGCACAATGGGGTCAACTTTGTATCTGCCTTGTCTCAAAGTTAGATAAGTAATTTTAATTCTTATATTTATTTAACTATTACTTCATTTTCTTCTGCTTTTTCTTGTGTTAAAATCTTTTTATCCTCAACAACAATACCTCCAATATGAACGATTTTATCTGTCTTCGGATAATCTCTGAAATTTCCAAGTTTGTGATAATTAATAAAATGATAATTAATTTTTTTAAATAAATGTTTAATTGAAGGAAGTGATTTGTTTAGTTGAATTTCGTTTTCTTCATACATATCTCGATACATTTCTGGAATTACTTTTTTCCAATATTCATCTAACCTTTCAATATCATTTCTAAGATATTTCAAATTATTTTTGTATTTTTTAGATCCTTGTTTCCATATACCATCTGTGGAGTCCCAGTCTCCTGGTTCCGCATACATGAATGCTTTAATAAATTTTATTATTAAAAGAATCTAAAATTTTGTTAAGTTTAATTTTGAAAGTTTACAGTGAACTTGTTTATTCCGTTTCCGCCGTCAGATTTTTGACTCATCTATCAAAATACACCCTACAGCACCCAAAATTTATAAAAAAATCTATTCATCTTTTCCTTAATTTTGGCTGAAGTTCATTTTTTTGTGCCAATAAAAAGCTTTTATTAGCATAAATTTTTTCTGCTTTTAAATATTGGTATGTATGTATGTAACATCCCTGGTAAATAATTTTAATAAACACTAACAAGGAATATTGTGTTTAGTAACATCAATTCCAATAAATTGAAAGTATTCTGGAAGGAATGCACTGGCAATGACATTAAAAGTTTTTTCAATTCCTAAAAGTTCGAAAGCAGCAAAAGAGCCAGCCATCTGATTAAATTCAGCAATTCCAAAAGAATAATTTTGTTGTTGAAGATAATCAAAAATTGGTTTATTGCCAACATTGGGAATGTTAACTTCAACGTTATTCAAAATTTCTACGTAGAATAAAAATTAAAAAAGTTGATAATTTCTGCGAAAATCGAAATTTTACTGATAGAAAATCTAAAGCAACGTTGCACATAACACATTGGTTTTAGATAATATAAATATGCTGATTTTTGTAATTATCTTTTTATTACATAAATTTAAACTTAATGCTCTTTCCACAAAAATGAACCTTCTACATACATATCTCCAGATACCCTTTGGCGTATTAGGTTTCCAAGAGCCCGCTACCCTATATTCAAGGGCCTGCTACAATGTGATATTACTTATGTTCATTATTCAAAAATTATATATATATATCATATATCAATAACCTTCATATATTCCGACATATACCTTATCGAATACGTTTTTAGAACTATCTTGCAACTCAATTGTATTATATAATGTAGATTTTTTGAAAATACCATTTGGGGTTTTGTAAACAACAACGTCCTAAAATGAAACTTGAAGTATGTATATAAACTGTAATTTTATAAAAAATAAATTTTATATTACCACATCATATTTTTCTGATAAAGCTTCGGCCAGAGTTATCTAAAATTCTGAAATTAATATTAATTTTTTTGGATTCCCCCCTTTGACACGAACATATAAAAGCACAAACTTAAAAATATTACATCTCATAGAAAAATAATATCTATCGGATTTTTTAAAAATTCGTATGATATGATTTAGCATTTATACGATTTATTTTAAAATTTAATTAATTTAATTGCGTAAATTAATTTAATTTACATGTAATTGTGCAAGTGAGAAGAAATGATTCTCGCAAATGAACAAAGCTTTCTTTTTTCCATTAACTTTTTCTATCTCAGAACCTTTAGAAGTTCTATAACGTCCTCCCATTGAATTTTTTCCTCCATGGGTTCCTTCTTTATTCTTCACAATATTTTTCGGCACTCTTTCATCATAGCTATAACTTGCTACTTTTATAGAAGAATCTTCTCCTTGACTTTCTCCAAAATATTTACTTCCTCCTAAAATTTCCTTCCAACCATAACTACGGGTTCCATAACCTATACCATCGGTTGCTCCTCCATAACTTGTCTCTTCCTGTTGAAAACTATGACTAGTACCTATTGAAGAACCTTCAACTTGACCTGTTTCGTGATGACCTGCAGAACCTTCTTCAATTTCGTCTTCAGAACTTTTTCCAGAATTATTTTGACTTTTCCCAAAACCCAAACATTCACAAAAACATCCTCTCTTAACTCGGGAATGACGCAATTTTTCTTTTCCATTTTCAGGGCATTTACATTTTATCCCAATGGAAATATTTATCAAAATTAGCAGAAAGAAAGTATTTAAAATTAATTTTAAATACATTTTTTCTAAAATAATTTTTTAAATTAAAATAATAAATTTTAATAAATAAATCGAATAAAAATTTTTAATTAAAATAAATTTCACTACAATCGTTATGGCATTTTAAATAAAGTTAAATTTCCTTCTCTATCCACTACCCACTTTACACCACGGTTGCGTCGTAATTACGAATTACGATTACGAATTACGGCGTTTTTTTGAGTTACGAATTACGATTCCGAAATTTTTTTAAAATTACGAATTACGATTACGAAAAAAAATTTTCGATTACGACGCAACTCTCTTTACTCGTATGATACTTCCAAGTCCCTCGATACCCCTTCAAATCCTCTGATATCCTCGAGAACGTCCAACGTAAAGTTAAATTTCTTTCTCTATCCACTACCCATTTTAAACGTATGATAAACTCTTTAGATAAAAGTGCTAGTATCTCCCTTAAATATTAGCGCGAGCGAAACATATTAGCGCGAGCGAGCCTTTAAATTTTCTGATATACTCAAATCCTCTGATTTCCTCGAAAACTTCCAAATTGTATCTAAAAAGTGTTCCGAACAAATCCATTAATTAGCAGAATGTTATGGTAAATAAATACTCCACTCCGAACTTTTTTGTCACCCTGTAGAATGACTACTCGATTCGCCTTTAAAACAGTTACAACAATCAAAACCTCTTTTACATAATTCGACGAACCTCCTAACTTTTTTCCCCATTTTTAGGATATTCTCAATTTTTCCCAATGGAAATATTTACAAAAATTAACAAAAAGAAAATTAAAACAATTAAAACATTTTTCCCCTAAAAATATTTTTTTCTAATTTTTAAATAAATTTATTTATAAAATTATTTCTTAATTAAAATAGAGTTAAGTGATAAAATTTTTAAATACCTTGCTTAATAAAATGTAAAATTTAATTTTGAAAGAGAGAGAAGAGGCAAAGAAACCAAGATAAATTGCCAACATTAACGTACGGTACGTCCCACTCGAGTACCGGACAGTATGTCTGAAACTTTTTGTATGATGATCTGATCAAATCAATCCTGTTAGCGAAAACAATCCTCACATCCAGGGCTTTCGATTGATATATTAATTATTTAAATCAATTAAGAATCAAAAAAGTTATGGCCTAAAATATGGCCAGGTACACAAACGGCCGGTACTCAATGATCCCCTAACCCTATGTGAAAGCATGTCTTGATTTTTTATAAGCAATGCCCTCTCTAAATAATTTTATTAAGAAATTATTGATTGGTAAAATTTATTTAATAAATTTAAAAAAAATTAAATTTTAAAATTTTTAATTGAAAAACTTTTAATTTCCAAAAATGAGGACATTAGAAAATAAAATTTTGATTAATTTGAATTTCAAAAAACTTCCATACATGGAATCGAACTCTTCCTGTCAGAATATCTAATTAAGTGAAGGCTTAACCTCTTAAACTTAACCACTTAAACATCGACCAACAAAATCGAAAATTGGAGAAATTATAATTATTCCCTCCAGAGATACTACAGTGCCGGAAAAAAGTATTGCACCAAAGACTGATTTTTTATTTAAAACCCCATAATTATTGAAAAAACTTTTTCTTATCAAATCTTTTATTCCTAAAATATAAAATAGAATGTCCTCTTTCAATAGGCATTAAAAATATTTTGTTTAATAAATCTTTACTTTTCAAAAACTTCATTTCCGTATGCATACCCAAAATAGAGGCGGAAAAAAGTATTGCACCAACATGTTTTTGAAAAGTAAAGATTTATTAAACAAAATATTTTTAATGCCTATTGAAAGAGGACATTCTATTTTATATTTTAGGAATAAAAGATTTGATAAGAATTAGTTTTTTCAATAATTATGGGGTTTTAAATAAAGAATCAGTCTTTGGTGCAATACTTTTTTCCGGCACTGTATTATTCCCTCAATTTAAATTGATTAAATTAGTTTGGATAATCCTATTAAATAGTCTTTTAGACACTTTAATAAATTATGATAAGAATTGAAATTCAGAATTGAAATTCCTCTCATTCCTCTTAAAATATTCAAAGAATAACTCCAAATACATAGAATGACAATTTTTAGAGGCATTGAAAATACGGTAAATTTAAATGATTTTTTATGAAAAATTCTGATTGAATCTATAAAAAATTTAAAATTAAAAATTGAAAAATCCCTAAAAAGCCAATATTTGGGGACCAGACTCTGGTAAAACAAATTTCTTTTTACTTTTCTTATTTTTGAATAAAATGAAGATGGAGTGAATAAGGAGAGGTGTTTAAATGGAGAAGTAAAATAATAACATAAAATAATTTTATTTTTGGCAAATTTGAGAAAGAGAAATTAAAAGAAAAATCCTTTTTGACATTTTTTTATAAATCCACATCTTCATAGCAATTTAAAAATATAACAAGTATTTAGCCAAGTCCTTAGTCAAGAAAATTTTTCAATAAATAAATTTCAAAAATTAATATCGCCTGACTATCTTTATTTATGTAAAAAAAATTTTTGAATAAAATATTTTTTATTTAAGTTATTGTTGAAATTGTTGTTGTGAATTAGAGTTGGACTTTCACCCATCGGGATCGGAAGGAAATTAGATAAAACATTAATTTAAAAAATGAGTAACAGAGCCTTACAAAAGCTTTCTAGTTTTATTGAAGCAAATGGTTTAGGTTGGCCTGATCTATGGGCAAAGCAATTGTTTCGCTGCAGGCAAATTATTTAAAAATTTTAGTCTTGGAATTTTTAAAATAACCTTACTATAGAATCAACCAAAATTTAATGAAAATAAAAATACCCAAATCTTTAACAAATCGAAATCTTTTAATAAATATGTGTTAAAAATAAAAATATTGAAATTTTGAATTTTGGTAAAACCGAATCTTTGTTTTTAAAAGAAACAAAAATAGTAGCATTTGTTTATTAGAAAATGGAAAGTCATTTTTAAAGAAAATTTCACTATTATACATATGTATATTAAATAAAATTATTTTCAATAATAAAAAAATAAATTTAAAAATTTTCAAAACAATTAATGACTGATTTTGAAAATTATAAAAATAATGGGCTCAGCCGGTGATCGAAACCGGGGCCTCTCGCACCCAAAGCGAGAATCATACCACTAGACCACTGAGCCGACAAAATGATTAATTTATAAATTATTTTTAAACAATTTGTACCTCTTAATTTGTTTTTTGTTTTTAATCTGTTTTTTGTAGGAAATAATGAATAATTATTCTAGTCTCCTTATGTATTAAATTAAAAATTCTATTTTTAAATATTTATTTAGAAATAAATTCAAAATAATTCAATTAAATGTACATTTTTTAATTTGATTATCCATTAAGTGGCGGAGCCCCCTAAGCAATAAATTCAATCGGTATTCAATAAACCTCATCTTTCTATATAATTTATCCGGTAAATGTCCGTTTCATTCCCTACCTGTCCGAAAAGAGAATGTGCATTTTTCTTTCCTTTTCTTGCATTCTTGGCGTTAGGAAAAGTGCCCATCATTTTAATAACTTTAATTAGAATGGCCAGGATATTTTTAAGAAATATTCAGGCATTTGAAAAAAAAATAATTTTGAAAAGACTAATCTTAAACAAATTCTGAATACTTTTTAAAATTATTGTTTTAATTAAAAATTAATTTTTTAATTGAAAATTTTTATTTTTTTTAATTAAGAAGATTACTAAATTCAATGTTTGTTTGTATTTATTCTTAATTAAAGTTGGAAAAAATATTTAAAATTAATTTAAAATCAGAACGATTTAAAGAAAAAGTTGTTTAATTAAAAACATTTTCTTCAATTTTTTTCTTGTAAAAGCCGCGTCAACCTCAAGTATGTGTTTGTTTGTATATATTATTTTGCTTAAAAAATATTTATTTATATCCTCTTTATACAGTTTTTATTAGTGCGCGAGACTTGTTTTTAGCTGAGTAAATGATTTTTTATTTGTTTCATTTCTACCTTTTACCTCTTAAATATATAAAAATATTTATTTTTTAATATTTATTTTAAGCTTTCTTTTTCCTCCAAAATTATTTTGTGACACTTTAGGAGAATTAAACTTTGAAAAATAAAATTATCAAAATTAAAAAAAATTTTTTGAGATGGAATTTCTCGTTCATAATATTTAAATAGAAATTTTGATTAAAGAAATTACTCAATTCTTGTTAGAATATTCATATCAGACTGCCTTAAACTGAATATTTAAAAATTCATTTTATGATTACCAAATAAAAGTAATGATTATATTTCTAATTACTGCCATTGTTTGGCTAATAGATGCACAACAACCACCATTCATTCCCCCTCAGAATATTAATGGAACATTTGGGCTTCAATTAAATTCTGTATGTTTGTTTAAAAATATACTTAAATTGGGTACACCCCATATTTTTACCGCGAGTCCAATGTACCGCAGCACTATAACTTCGTTCGAAGTGGTTGAATCCAGGACACCCTAGTGTTCAGCTCGTCAAGACTCATCAAACCATACGAAGGTCCCGTATCCGACCTCATCGAAGGAAGTTATATCTCTGCTGTACATTGGACTCGCGGTACATTGGCCTGCTCATATCTAAATTATATTATTATGCTAAAACTGAACCACCTCAAAAAAGAGACATAAATTCTATAGTTACTGTTAGGTTCTGATTAAAATTATTTATTTGATTAAAGTATCCATCTCCTCAACATTTATTTCAATATCAAAGACAGCAACAACCTTCAGATTACCGTCAACAACAGCAATATGCTGCTGACGGTCATTATTTACAACAACCACAATATAATAGCCATTATCAAAATTCTTTATCTACGCCGATTAAATGGCAAAGTTGGGTTTTACGCGATTTTTGAGTTGTCTTCCGTAAAATTAATAAAAGTTTCAAAATTATTGAATACATTCATCACAATGACTTTTTTACTAAAACTAGACCTGGTCTAAGTATTCCCAAAAATTGTTCCTTAACTACTTCACAAAGTTACCAAGAGTTAA